GCAAGGGTCAGGCCCCACCCTTGCTCATCGAGTATCTTACGGATAAGAACGGTTAAGAAAATCCTTACATTCTCGAGGCCCGAGAGGCCCATGAACAAGAAACTATATAACCTAAAACCCTAGAGTTGAGATTTAGATCACACTTTTGAATGCTCTAGCTTTGAGGCTTGACCTAGGAAAAAACCCTAGCACACCCTTTGGCCGGAACAAATTTAAATATTTAATTATGTGTAATTATTTATTATGATGTGAAATATTTGTGATTATTTAATTATTAAGAAGTCTCTTGATTAAAATATGAGATAGACAAATAATCTAATTATAATTATAATATAATAAAAAAATAAGTTAAAAATATTGTATGTATTTTTTTATAAAAAAAATTAATTAATTTTTAACAGGTACATGTAAGGGTATACCTAATACCCGACAATCTGAAACGAAAATTACATATGCAGCGGATAAAAAAATAGAAATGAAAATAGTTTTGAACTGTGGAGACGAAAACAATAACGGATATCATAAGAGCGGTCCGTGAGCATGCCTAACGTCCTACGAAATAAAAGTACATAAAAAGTATGGAATAATGGAATGAACATAGTGCATGTATATAGCAACAGTTAGTGTGGCGGTGTAAAAACAGTGGAACCAAACAACGAGTGACAGTGGACCTACTTAACGTTTAAATTAAGAAACAAGTGGTCCAACGAGAGCACTCGAACATGAACTCACCTTGACCTCGAGTTTCATCTTAGAATTTGGAAATGACATCAAAGCCACCAAACCCTATTGTTTTCAATTATTACCATAAACAAGTTCAACATATATATGGCAATGCTGGTAGCTAGAATATTATTGTCTGTTGTGCAAATGTGAACCCAAGCAAATTTGTACACTGGATTGCTTTCACATTTCAATTTTAGCATGGATTAATTACGGGAAAAGAATGTCATCAGATTTTTTAAAAAATACACAAAAGTTTATGAACTCAGAGGAAATAATATGAAAATTTAAATACGTCTTACCTATCAGGTATCTACGCCGAGATTCAAGCATTAAAGACTTAAAAATAGTATTTTATTTATATATTATTAAATATTAGAGGTATCTGTTTATTTTAAGAATACGTTTATATAGATTTATTCTATCAATGATTCATATTCTATATCAAATTTTAATGATTTAATAGTTAAATTTAAAGTTTTTAATGTATAGATCAAATTTACAAATTTTTAATAAATTTAAAAATTATTTGACACTTTGTTTCGTTAATTTAAATTGATAAATGATCATAAAATTATTTCATTCATTGATTTGGATTAATAAAACGAAGTATCAAGTAATTTTTAATTTTTTTTAAAAGTTTATAGACTTTTTGATCTATGTATTAAAAATTTTAAATTTAATTATTAGATCGTTGAAATTTGATATAGAACATAAATTATTGGACAAAATAAATTTAGGTAAACTTAGTTATAAAGTACTTAAAAGGTATTATTTATCCAAATATCACTTTCACACATACTATATTGCTAGGTGACTCAATATAACATATTTCTTTTCTTATAGTCTCTTTCATTAAATTAGATTTGTGATTTTGTGAAGGTCTGTGATTTTGTCAAGATTTATTTCTAATCAACTATAAATTGGATCGTTTTGTAAATAAGAGGTGGGACAGGGTAGATGCCTATGTTTGAATCTCCTTCAAATTAAAGTAGCATATAACTCAATGCAAGAAAGTTATTAGGATACTTGTCTAAAACGAGGAACATCGTCTCAACTTCCTCGATCATTACAAAACTTCTACTTCCAATCTCCAACATTGTATGTTACCACCACCAACAAAATTAAGGCATCAACAATGGATTTGTGCCACCGTGATATCATTGTTAGGGTTTATTTTATTTCTAGTTGCCTACTTTAAGGCATCATGTGTAATGTGTTTTAAATACAAAACCACTTTATGTCAGAAGAAAAACAAAAGGAAAAAAAGAAAGTCATGCCATGAACAAGTGTATTCAATATCTTTCCATTGTAATAAACAAATACAAAAATATTATAATAATTTATGATTTTGAAATTGTTTGAAGTTTAAAAATATTATTTTAGAGGTTTTCTATTGAAAAGTGTTATTTATTTTTAGTAGAATTTTCAAAAGTACTTGTAACTTATACTCAAATAAACTCTTTAAAATAGTTGATGAGATGATGATTTAAGATTGAAAGTATATAGTAAAAAGAATAACATACACTAAATTGAAAGAGTCACACACCTATATAAATAATTGTATCCCACAATCATCGATGATTAAAAAACTTGACTCATCGATGATTTATGAAATATTAAGATGACTTGGTCATTTATGACAAAAATATCTAAAAACATAAGTTAATTCATTTATATTCTACATGTATAACAAAAATATACCTTCGAAATGATACCTAAAATGGTACGATAATTATCAATGCTTTTACAATAGACCGGTCAAGATATTGGTTCAAGATACATAAAATAATATTATATAAACTTAATATCATAATTTTATAATACTAAAATTAAAATGAAATATCATTTTATATATTTTTATATTTTTAAAGTGCATGTAAAATTTTAAATATAATATTTCAATTTCAATTTTAATAAAATAAAATATATATTAACAATTTTATATTAGAGTAAAAAAATTACAAATTAATATAATAAAATTAAAATATCATGATATAAAAATTAGAAACTAATATGAATGACTAAATTATATTTTTATAAGAAAATTAGTAAAAATAATAAATAATATAATTTATTTTTATTTATACTTTTTATTAAATATATTTATTTATTCATCATAAAATTATTTAAAATTCTATTAGAAATTGAATAAAATCGATTTAATCCACTTTTTTAAACCGATTCTTGACCTATTTTTATTCAATTCATCTAATTTTTAACCGATTCTTTCACATGCATATTTTATGGTTTTTCTAGACCGACAGATTAATCGATTCTTGATTCAACCTATCGAACAAGTCAATTTGATCTGATTCCGACAATATAAATAATTATAAATGACACGACCAAAAAAAATTGTTTACACGATATTTTTTATTCTTTAATCAATTAATATTCCAACAATATAAATAATTATAAATTATATGATCACATAAAAAAACATGTTTACACGATTTTTTTAATCAATTTAAATATTTTAATGTATGTTAATTAGTTTTATGTGAATTAATATATTATATTGATAATTTATTTAACATAAAATAATTATATAATTAATTGTTTAAGATTATAAAATTAAAAGAAACAAAATAATAAATAGAAATAAATAACGCCATTGAAAACTCGAGTTTGGGTGACCTAACTCCTAATGGGGTTTTAAAAAACGAATAAAAAATAAGAAGGGAAGTAGGCTTAGGGAGATAAGATTTCTTCGAGGGTTAGGAGGAATGGTAGTTGAGTAAACAATGCTATGGTTGAATTTGGAGAAACAATTTCTTTTTTATGTGACATTTAAGTAAAAATTAATTTTTATTTTAGATATAAAATAGATTCACATTTAAGTAAAGTTAGGAATTCGAATTCTACCTTGTTTATGCAGTCATGTTAAATTTTGGGATCAGTTATCTCACTCATTAGTCACTGTTATCGACAGTGGATACTCCAAGGACGAACAAAAAAAGTTTATGTTGAACAAAAATATTTATCATATATAGTTATGAATTTTAACAAAAATTAATCATTATTTTTTATAATAAATACTTCATATTAATATTATTAAAAAATTCAAAATAAAAAAGAAAGCTATTAAAAAATGAAGATTTTTAAACTCACAATACAAGCAAGCATTACATTACCAGTTAAAGTAACCTACTGAACAATTATTAGTTCATTAATAATTTATAAATAGGCATGCTTAATTTTTAGCTTAAAACGTCCTAAATTATTGGACAAACACTTATTTTTATATATTTTTATCCAAATCATAATTTAAGAGTTTCTTACGAAAGAGGAAGCACATCACGTGGATTACAAAACCAAAATCAGCAATGATCAGAAAAAATAAATAAATAATAATTCACTGATAAAACCAAGAAACCCAAAAAAAAAAAAAAAAAGAAGAAGAAGAAGAAGATAGATCTAGAAGTTTACTCGTGCAGTTTCGGATTCTCATACCCGAGATTGAAACCGAAAAGTGATTAAAAAATAACCACCGACATCATAAATTGTTGAACAAAAGTGTTAATAAAACATGAATTGATTTATTCATAAAAATAAAAATAAAAAACTTGAATTGATTTGCAGCATTTTTTTTTTATGTATAATTGATTTGCAACATTATGCTCTTTTACTCGAGAAATGTTACTTTTTCCCAATAAATCATATAACATATTTTTAATTGAAAATTAATATTTAACCAAATTTACATATGTTTTTAATTTATTAAATATGAAAATAATTTATTTTCAGTCTTTCAAATTTAAAACTAATTTCTTAATGCTTATAATTTTTTAAAAGATATATTTTAATTACTTATGTTCAAAGCTTATTTTTGAAATTGCCAGAAAAATTTTCTTATCGATAAATTTATCGTCCAAAATCTACTTATTCTTGTTATTATTTTTATTAAACATCACATTAATTAATATTGCACAGTTTGACTCAATCTATTACAATAATGTTACCTATTTTGAGGAATTAAATTTTTTTTTTTTCAAATTGGAAGAACTAAAAAAATTAAATTTAAATTTGTAAGAGTAAAAACAAATTTAAATTAAATTTTAAAGATTATTTTTTTAATAAATAATGCAATGGATAAAAGAAACATTAATATAATAACATAATTTTATTTTTTATAGTTTTATATCTTCCTTAGAAGAAATTGCAAGATGAATTTTCAAAGCATGAATTGTGGAGAAAAAGGCGGTTGGAAACAAAATCAGAACGTTAAAGACAAATCATGTGTGTGTTCCCCCCTAATGCACTTTTCTACGTGATTTTTGCTAAGTTCCGTCCATTATTATGCCACTGTCTATTTTCTCTTTCCACTATAAAGCCAACTGAAGCTTCATCCACTTCTCTTCCAGAGCAACAAACACACCCTTTTCTTTCTGGCTTCAGTTTTGCCCTGAAAATGGCAGTGACTCTTACATCAACACTCTTTTTGGCTTTGCTTTTTGCTTCTTCAGCTTTTGCTGCCCTTCAGCCTAGACTACCAGAAGGTAATGCTCTCATCTCAGAGCCTTTCTTTAAGATGCATAGGAATGTCATAAAAAGAAAAAAAAAAAAAAAAAACTTGATCTGTTTGGTTTAATTTGAGTTGAGTTAATGCCCATTTGATCTATCTTTACTTGGAAAAACTTAAGTTCATATAGGTTAGAAATAAAGTTAAAATAATGTATATAAATGAGTAACAATTTTTTTTTCTTATAAGCTTGTTTTGTTTTGTTAAGTTAAGCTAGATTTAAATCTACATTCTAACACTCTGATTCTGCATTGTCCATTTTTACTAATGTTTTGCTTCTTTGAATGGCTATGTGGGTTCCTTTCTTCTACATTTCTTATGGGTAACCTTTAGATCTGTTGAGTATGTTGCAACTTAGCTCTTTTGAGCAACTTTATGCAGTGGAAAAGTAGAAGTGCATTAGTAAGTTAATGAGATATTTTAATTCAAATAAGAAGTGAATATACTATCAACACTGTCTCATTTTACTTTTTACACATGAGATCTGATTATGTGCACTGAATAATACTGATTCTGAAGGGTTTTTGTGTGTGTGTGTGTGTTTCTTTGTAATTTTAACTCCACAGCTTACCTCCAAAATGGGAACTTTGAGGAGCAGCCAAACCCCAAATACCTTAAGAAAACAAAGCTCATTGGGAAATTTGCTTTGCCCAAATGGGAGATCAATGGTCTGGTTGAGTATGTCTCAGGGGGTCCCCAACCTGGAGGCATGTTCTTCTCAGTGACTCATGGAATCCATGCTGTGAGGCTTGGCAATGAGGCCTCAATCTCCCAAACCATTAAGGTCAAACCTGGTCAACTGTATGCTCTAATTCTTGGGGCCTCAAGGACTTGTGCACAAGATGAGGTTTTGAGAATCACTGTGCCTCCACAGACTGGTGATGTTCCTTTGCAGACCCTTTATAGCCTCAATGGTGATGTTATTGCTTGGGGATTTAAGGCCACTTCTAATGTTGCCAAAGTGACTTTCCACAACCCTGGAGTTCAAGAAGATCCATCTTGTGGCCCTCTTTTGGATGCCATTGCTATTAGGGAGTTCTACCCCCCAATGCCTACAAGAGGTAATGAAACATTTCCACATGCTATGCTACTCTAGTTTTGGACCTGACTTATTTGAATACATGTTACAAATTAATGGAAACGTAGATCTTTCTGCAGTTTTAACATATATTAAAGCTGTAGAAATCCATGAATTAATCCACTTGCTGAGTTTCCAGATGACCAAAAATTTCATGCTCTTTGGTCTTTCATGATGCCATCACATTTCCAGTGTATCCCTAATTGGTCCTATTTTATCAAAAATGAAAACTTAGTTGCTTTTATAGAATATGGATGATGTTTACCTTAGCCAGGAACAAAATTGCTTTTCCCACATCTCAATCTTCTATGTTTTTTTGGCTACCCTTTCTCCCTCACCTTGAGTTAACAAGGAGGAAGAGGGACAAACTCAATTTAAAAAATGGGGCATGAAAATATAATTGTTGATTTCACTAAGGTCTGTTCAGGAAAATTTATCTAGAAGCACTTATAAGACAGAAAAATAGGAGAAAAAAAATGAAATAAATTTTTTTTATAAATTAAAATTAGTTTTTGTATAAGTTAATTCACTCTCTTATTAACTTCTTTAAACTTTTTTTTTTAAATTTATGCATAAGCTAATACTAGATTATGAAAAAATTTATTTCAATTTTCTTTTATATCTTTTACTAATGTTTTATCCAAACAAACCTTAAGCATATACGAGAAAGTCTACAAATCTGATTTCACATCTCAATCTTTTCTAATAAAAACTGGGGAGTGAGAATATCATTACTGTTAGTTAGATATGGAATATGAACTATCTGATTTCACTAAGCCTTATATGAGAAACTCTACAAATCTGATATTCTAATAAAACCACTATATGGTATATTGCAGTTAATTTGGTAAAAAACCCTGGGTTTGAGGAGGGTCCATTCCCAATTTTCAACTCAACCAATGGTGTTTTGCTCCCTCCCCAACAAGAAGATAGCTTCTCCCCTCTCCCTGGTTGGATCATTGAGTCCCTCAAGGCTGTGAAGTTCATTGATTCAAAGCACTTCAATGTCCCATTTGGACTTGGAGCAGTGGAGCTTGTGGCAGGCAGGGAAAGTGCCATTGCACAAGTCATCAGAACAGTCACCAACAAAGTCTACAACATCACATTCTCAGTTGGAGATGCCAAAAATGGGTGCCATGGATCAATGATGGTTGAGGCATTTGCTGCCAAAGATACCTTTAAGGTTCCCTTCAAATCTCAAGGAAAGGGCACATTCAAGACTGTGAGCTACAGGTTCAAAGCAATTGCACCAAGAACCAGACTCACTTTCTACAGCTCCTTCTACCATACCAGAATTGATGATTATGGCTCTCTCTGTGGTCCTGTTCTTGATCAAGTTAGAGTGTTCCCTGTTGCCTGAATATGAGTTCCATTCCACCTTTACTGTAATATGTAGTAACTGAGATTTTTGCAAATCACTTGAGCCTGGCTTATCTATTAATTGCAAGAAGATGAAAGATATTCTCAACTTTTATTCGGTATATGTAAATTTCTATTTAACTTTTTCAGGGTATGCATGCAAGAGATGAGTTTTAATGTGTTTTCAATATGTTTGTGATCATTAGTAACATGAGATTATATTAGCTTAAGGTTATACTGCTTCACATTAGGTGAATGAATAAAAAGTTGAGATTAAAAAAATTCAAAAAAATTTTTGTCTTACACTTTTGGTAGTTTAGATCCAACAATCCGAATCAAGCTGAACAGACGCACTTAAAAAGATTAATGATCATTTTTTTTTTCCATATATACACACTCGCACAAGATTCAAATTCGAGCTTATTTAAGAATTAAGATAAACAAAAACTTTCTTATCCTTTAGAGCAATAGGTGTCGGGAAAAGAAAAATGTTAGGAACTGACTTCTGACAATTTTTGTTTTGATACACTTTCTTCAAATTATTAAAAATTAAAAATTGTAAAATTTGATGGTTTCGTATTATATTTAATGATTTTTATTTTATAATTTTTAATAAATTTTAACAAATAAATGTATTAAGGAATGTGTTGTTATCATTTCTTACATAAGAATTATAATTTTATAAAGATTTTTTATTCATGATATTTTTAAACCTGTGTAAAGCACGACATTTATTTAATAAGTGGCATATGTCATGTCTTATTGTTATTATAATATTAAGATTATTATATAATTGATAATCGATATAAGAATTTAATTATATATTTATGTTATAGATTTAATTATTAAATTAAATGATTGTATAATAGATATAGTATAAAAATGATTAAATAAAAAACATTAATTTAAGGGTATGAGTACATATTTAATTTTATTATTCTTTTATTGTTTTCTATATTTGATTATATATAATAATTAATGGAAAGGTGAATTATCATTTTTTTTAATTTGTGGATGATCTATCATTTTAGTTCTTAAAAATATGAGATATTATTAAAATAATTTCAAAAATTATTAAAAAATAATAATAATAAAAGTAAATTCTTAAAATGAATTTCATCAATCAAGTTAATGCTTCAAGTATTTATTAATTAGATTAATAAAGTATGATGTGTCATATTATTTTTTTTGTTGGAGTTATGTATGTGTGTGTTAACCCTCGGTACACAATAAGGTAGGGAATCTCTCCCTCCTCTCCTTCATTTATATCATAATTTTTTTCGTCATCCCACCTAACAACCAAGACACTCATTCTTTCTTCACAACCTTGACTTACAATGTCATTGCCTAATACATGGTTGTCACTAAATTAAAAATTCACTTAAAAATTAAATAAGAAAGGGAAATGATTATTCACCAAAATTTCTTACTTTCGAAGGAGAAATCTTTTTCATTGTCCACAAGAGATAGAGTTTAAAGCAAAAAAAATCTATCAACCCCATATGTATTTGTGTTTGTTACCAAATTTTAGCTTGAAAATGGTGTTTTTTTTAAGCTTAGCTAATCAAATATTGGGCAATACTGGATGCATTTAGAAACACCCTTCTACCTAAGATGGTTTTTGCCACAAATGCTATTTGTCTATATGCATATTACGATCAATCCAATTATATAAGTTAATTTGAGATGGAGGATTGTTGCATTTGGGTATATTTGGTCACCTATTGCATTCTCTCTGGGAATCCCAATTATTCCTTTTTCACTTCTAACTTTTATAAAAAATAATAATAATAATTAAAGTGTTTTACAATTTTTATATGTATTGTTTTTACCGTTATCCTATTAAATTATGACTGATGAATCATTTTTTTCACATTAAATTAGTAATTCAATAGACATGCACATTTATGTTAAACTTTGTTAAGTATTCTAAAATTTGCTCCTTTTTTCTCTCTCATTCTAACCTGTATAAATTAATTCTAAACATAAAGTATTCTCTCCAATGGCAAAACTACTGAATCTTGTTTACATTCCCAATTTGGAGCTCTTCAGCCTTCTGTTGGGAAGCCTCGTCTTTGGGCTTCAAGAGACCCAATCTTCTCTTTGTCCAGGGCAACTATTGTAACATTTTCTCAACTCTAAAATAAGGACTGTCCAACATATTATTAGAGTTAAAACAAATATTAAAGTGAGATTTTTTAAAATTAATAATAATATCGTTTGAGACAGATTTGAGGTAAGTATATTATTATTAATGTGGGATCCAACATATGTCTTATATATTATTTTTTAAAATTAATAATAATATTTTGCATCGAAAACTTAAGCAAATTTGAGACAAATTGTACATACCATTTTCCTTTTCTCTTTACTTTGGAAATCTTTATTGAGTTTTGTTTTGTGTACTCTTCTTTCTTTGTTTCTATAACTAATTTGTTTCAAAAATTAAAGAGTATATATAAATTAGGTTTCCTGTGACACCTTTACTACCTCAACACATATATAAATATTAATCATGTAAATAAACTAAAGAATAAAATTTTCAACGTTGGTAAAAGGGTTCACATAAAATCTTCATATTTATTTATCAATAACCAACATAATAATTGAAAATAAAACTTGAGAGTTTACAATTTGTTTTCAAAATAATATTTACAATTCTAAATCCATATAAAAATCTATGTCCTAAAAATCCTCTGCCCCGATGTCACAATATCAGAGCATACCCACAATTCAAATGTTGGCATTCTAGATGTCACTCGTAGCCGGATCTTCCTCACCAAAAATATTCATAATTTGTACGGTAAGAAAAGAAAACATCTATATGGAAAGCACACAAGGAAAAACACAACATAATCATAACTCATTATAACTTAATATTCATAAATATTTCAACATATCGTATTTCAATCAATCATGCATCGTCATCACGTCATAATTCTCAATCACACCAATCATCACAAATCTTGCACTTCACACTATGTCAAGGTCACGCTACCCATTTAACAATCCAAGGTCGTGCTCACCCCTGATATAATACTGTGCCAAGGTCACGATTCCCCTGTAGCATATCTAGCCCAGGGTCGTGCTCACCCCCGACATGTTATTCAAGGTCATGATACCCATATAACAATCCAAGGTCGTGCTCACCCCTGATATAACATTGTGCCAAGGTCACGATACCCATGTAACAATCTCGGGCCGTGCTAACCCCTGATATAACACTGTGCTAAGGTCACGTTACCCCTAACCGAGGGTCGCGCTCACCCCTGACATGTTAACCAAGGTCACGATACCCATGTAACAATCTCGGACTGTGCTCACTCTTGATATAACACTGTGCCAAGGTCACGTTACCCCTAACCTAGGGCCGTGCTCACCCCTGGTCATAGGTGTGAAGAACCACAATCACATCTCATTCACATTCCACACAACATCTCATAGTTCAATTCCATACACACATCAGATAAGTCCAAAATAATGGGTTTCATACACCTCAAGCAATTCACATCTCATAAATTAATATAATAATCAATATAATTATCAATTTAATATAATTTTAACATAAACAGTAAAAGCCCCAATTGTTCCAAAACCTAGCTCACAAGCACTTTTCTACAATTTCGTTCTCTCTCCCAGATCATCATTCTTACAAATTATTAGTATATTTCTAATCCTCAATACATATACAGTCTAATGGGATCATCAATTTCTCAAACAGAAATAATTATAAAATTACTCATAATCTTAAGGGACTCTTCCTCTACCCAATTCCTCATATAACCCTACACATAAATAATTCCCCTTTCTCCCGTACCTGGATAAATAGTAACTGAAACTAAGGATCTGGTTGATCTCCTCCGCTGGGTTCCCCTCGATCTCCAGAGAGTGCAGAAGAAGAGAAGAGAGAAAAGAAGAAAAATAGTTAGAAATGAAAGGTGTGCTTTTTGGGAGTGCTAGAGCACTCTATTTATAGGCATCAGGCGTCGCCGGAACGACCCATTTCAAATCTGGAACGACTCGTTCTAGACTCTGACGGCATGTGTAAAATTCACATCCAAAACGACTTGTTCTCAAACTAGAACGACCCGTTCTAGGGTTGCACTTAACCCACAACGGCCATATCTGGAACGACCCGTTCTCAACTAGGGTTTTAGGCATTTTTTGTGATTTGGAACGTCCCGTTCCAAATTGGGAACGCCCCGTTCTTATCTAAAATTTGTAGACAATTTTTGTATTTTGGAACATCCCGTTCCAGTTTGGGAACGGTCCGTTCTGGGATACAAAATCACTCTCATTTTAGTAGTTTGGAACGGCCCGTTCCAATTTGGGAACGGTCCGTTATGGGCTACTAATCACCCCTATTGGGCCTTTGGGCCCTCAAACAATCTGTGAAAATCGGGCTGTTATATTTCCTCCTCATACAATGTATAGAACATAAAGGTGATTGAAGGTCAATCTCATTACCTAATTATAATCTCAAGTTCAGAGCAAGATTACTCACTCTACCCTTACCTTATTTTGATGAGTGCTAGAAGATGAACGTAAATCTCCGAGATGCTCTCCTACAAGCTTGGGTTCTCCCAAGCCTTCAAAGTGCGTAGAGGAAGAAAATTAAAAGCGTAAAATAAAAAAATTGATTAGATAACTCCTTTTTTTAAAAACTTAACCCCATCTTAATCCAATAGGTAAAAATAATTAATTTTAGTTACAAAACTCTTGTCTCACATGATAAAATAATTAAATCATTTAATTATAAAACTTTATAATATATCCATATACATATAAAATAATTAAAACAATTATTAAAACTAGTCCAAATAATTATAACAAAATACAATAATAGTAATTAACAATATATATTACAATACCATAAAACACATATTTTCTAAAAATACATTTAATTATATAAATAATTAAAAATATATTTTTTCTAAATATTATATATAACAAAATATCATAAAAATACATATTTCTCTAATAAATATTATATAAAACAATTTTACAAACATTTATTAAAAGCACTCATGATTATTAAAAGCCTCTAAAATATTTTATAAAATTACTTTAATTAATCAAAATATCCTTTCAATAATTTTAGAAAACTTGGAGTGTTACAACATTAAGTATCACAAATGAAAAACTTCATTTGTAAATATGTCGTATGTATAACATTTATGATGTTTGA